ACTATGGATGGAATGCGACATGTACTATGTCTATACTTAGGACTCTCCAACCGCCATTTCTCTCTTCCAGAAAATTATAAAAAATGATCGCATGTTCCAATTCCTGGTTGGCCTTAACAAAAAAATTGAAGAAGTCTGGCGTCGTATTCTTAGTCGGTACCCTCTTCCTTCCACTTAGGCAGCATTCACCAAGATTCTTCGGGAAAAGAGTCGGAGACTTGTCATGTTCGACACTTCAATTTCTTCTGTCAAACCATCCATCTTAATCTCGAATACTGCTCAGCCCTCATCCATGCCACCTCGGACCAATCACCCCACTTATGATTACTATCGCAAATCCAATTACACTCGGAATAAGTGTTGGAAACTTCATGGTAAACCGGCAAACAAACCTTCTATCAAAACCTCAAGGCGACGTCTGATTCTACCACGACTCAACCGACTCCTACTTATAACATCTTGGAATCCTCCGAATCCAAAAAATTCAGATGGAGCAATTGAACAAGCATCTTGGAGCCAATCAGGTATTTGCAGGTCCATCAACCTCCCATGTCCGACAAAGTACTCTTCTTACTGCTGTCACGATTTATTCCTCCTCTAATCCGTGGATTATTGATTCAGATATCACATATCACATAACTGGATGCTCGCAAGCTTTCTCAACTTACCATCCGTGCTCTGAAAAAAATACAGTCAAAATTGTTGATGACTCGTGTAGTTTCATTGCTGGTAAATGGTTGGTTGTACTAGTAACCGGTATAACTCTAGAGTATGTTTTACATGTTCCTCGGTTGCAATATAACTTGTTATCCGTCAGCAAATTGACAAATGATATCGATTGTGTTGCTAATTTCTTTTTTTATGGATGTATTTTTCAGGATCGTCGTTCGGGAGGAAGATTGGAATTGCTAAGAGGATAGTTGAACTCTATTAATTCCAAGATGAGAGCACGGAGAGTGAGGACACGCCACTCAAGAATTATAGCTTATCTAGAGTCGTTAAATGTCTTATTATATTGTTACATCGTAGTTTTGGTCATTCTAATTTTCAATATTTAAAATATTTGTATCCTTTGACTTTTTCTAATTTTCTAATAAAAATATTTCTAACTTCAATGGTCAGACATGTGAGTTAGCCAAGCATCACCGGGTCTATTACACACCCCACACTTACACACCTTCTGCTCCCTTCCCCCTCTTTCAATGACATATGGGGACTCTCTCACACTTCCAACTACATCAATAAACAGTGGTTCTTAATCTTGATTGATGACCACACTCGAACGAGGTGGGTCTACATTTTAAAAAACAAATCAAAAGTTCTCACTTTCCATAACGTCTATACATTTATTATACATTTATTTTAACCAAATTCAAAACTCTTACTCAGGTCCTTCAGACCAATAATAGCCGTGAGTTTTTCAACTTTATTTTGGATGAATTCTTAGTAATTAAGAACATCCTCCACCATAGCTCGTATACGGACACTCAATAAAAAGGGGTAGCCGAGAGGAAAAATCATCACTTCCTAAACTTTGCTCACTCCATTATATTTCAATCCAATGTCCAGAAACAGTTTTGCAACAATTTCATCCTGACTACTACATATCTCATAAATAGAGTTCTCTCTTAAATCCACAAGTTTCAAACCTCCTTATCAATCCTGATGTCATGTTTTTTTGCCAATCAGATCTTCTACACGTTAGATCCTAAATTTTTTTGGTGCACGATCTTTGTTCAGAACACTGTCCCCACTCGGAATAAACTTGATCCATAAAATGTATCTTCCTCAGTTACTCTGCAAGTCAAAAAGGGGTATAGATCTCTTGATCCTACCACAAACAAAGTCAAGGGCTTGAGTTCTCACACACTGTCCCCTATCCTACTCCTATGGATGTTCTACCCATTGTTCCTACCACCGAGGAATCTCTTGCTCCGTTGAGTGCATTAATTTTTCCTCCCAATGTCTATGTTTACACTCGGCGCACTCATCGCAATGCTCCTACTCTGGAGCCAGCTACCTCCTTACAGGACCTCGACTCTACTTCAGTCGACATTCTCAGCACGACCCCTCCTCCAAATGGGGAGGTAAGTTCTCCAAGTAAGGTACACAATCAGATATATTCCCTCTAGTCTATGGCAAACTATGTCTCTTTCCATAGTTTATCGCCAACCTATAGAGAATTTGCTATTGCACTAACGGACAATCAGATCTTAGCTACTATTGAGGTTTCCCTTGTCGATTCAGCCTGAAAAAAGGCAGCAATGAAGGAAATGAATACCCTTCAGCAAAACCATTCGTGGGACAATGTGGATCTTCCTCGAGGCAAGAAAGTTGTAGGGTGTTGATGGATTTTCAGCACCAACTTCAACTCTGATTGATCTTTTAAACGCAACAAGGCACAATTAATCATCAAATAGGAGTCACAGAACTACGAAGTTGACTATGAGGATAGATTTGCTTCAGTGGCTATGTAAAACACTATTTGGGTCCTGTTGTCACATGCGGTGAATCTGGATTGACTTTTATTCCAACTAGATTTCAAGAAAGTGTTCTTGAATGGAGAGCATACAAAAGAGGTCTACATGTCTCTCTCTCTCTCTCTTGGATTTGACTCTACTGCCTCCAAAGAACTAGTGTGCAGGCTACGAAAGTCTTTCTATTGGCTAAAGCAGTCCCAAGGGCTGGTTCGGCAAGTTCACAAAGGTGGTTGTGGGTCCTAGTTTTACTCAAACTTAATTGAATCACACCCTATTCTTCCAGCATTCTTTCAATTGTCAGGTAGCTATCCTTATTGTTTATGTTGACAATATTGTTCTTACGGATAACAATCTCCCAACATTGGAGTCCTTGAAAGACATTATGGCCACGTCCTTTGAAATGAAGAAATTGAGATCTCTCAGGTGCTTCTTAGGTATGGAAGTGGCTTGATCATTTCAGGGACTTTGTATGTCTAAGCGCAAATATATGTTTGATCTCTTGATAGAAAACAACCTTCTTCAGTGCAAACCTATTGTAGTTGCAATGAATCTCAATGAAAAATTATATGGCATTTCTAATGTTGTGTCTGTCAACAAAACTTATTACCAGCTCCTTGTGGCAAACCTCATCAACCTCACACATAATCGCTCTGATATATGTCAGGCAATTGGTATAGTGATTTAATTCATGCATGACCCCTTATGAGCACCATTTCCAAGCTAACCACCATATTCTCCACTATTTAAAAGGTACATCGGGCCCAGCTTTGTTTTTCTCCCGTCACACCTCTCGGTCTATTCCTGCTTATACAAATGTTTATTCATGTTTATAGAAATGTTGATTGGACTGGATCAGTTCATGATCCACGTTCCACCTTGAGGTATTGCTCATTTATATGGGGCAATCTTGTCACGTGAAAAAGCAAAAACAGTCTGCGTTTATCCAGAGCAGTGTTGAGGCTGAATTTCAGCCATGGACCTGGTAATCTGTGAAGCCCTCTAGTTACGCATCATGCTCCGCAAGCTCATATGTCAACCTCTGTCCCGTTGTAGCTATTCTGTCATAACAAGTTCGCAATCAACATTGCCCACAATCCAATCCAGCATGATTGTACCAAACATATGGAGATTGATAGACACTTCATTAAAGAGAAGATGGAGTCCGGAGAAATTTATGTTCCTTTTGTACCCTCAAGTAGTCAACTAGCAGATATTCTCACCAAGAGTCTTTCACATTCTTTGTTCGATGACTTCAAATTCAAGTTGAACATGACTGACATTTATGCTTCAACTTGAAGGTAGGTATTAGATTTACAGCAGCAATCCCTAGTTGTTATTTCTTGTCATTAATTTTTATTCCCTCATTATTTATTTTCAAATTGCTTGATTCTATATTTATTTCTTTCATATTTGCTTGATTCTGTTTTTTTTCTTTTTTTTATTATATCTATTGTAATCGGGTTTAAATACCCCTCCTTCTATCAATAATATTATATTAGTCTATTCCAAATCTTAAGACATGATTTTGTAATACTGGTGCATACTTTAAAAAATGGCATAAGCGCTTGGTACTTTCAAATGTGAAGAAACCAAATAAAAAATACTCATATTCTAAGGATGTTTTTTTAGTGCAAAGTGATATAATGAGAAAGTGGTTGAACACGACAGAAATTACTTGATAGAAATTTATTGAAAACAAATCATAAGAAATTATCTCCCTATGATAAGATGATGGAACTTTCAAGATCAGCACTAATTTATCTTTTGAAATAAGTTGATTAGAAAGGTAAATTGGAATTCTATTGTTGAATCAAAGCTAATGAGAGATAAAATAACTAGTTACATCTAAAATGTTACCCTAAAAGTTTAAAGAGAATCTAGAAATTTATTGTATAAATAAATAGATCTACTGGTAGAAAGAGAAGGTATAAGAGTTTCCTAAAAAAAAATCAAGTTTTTAATGAACAATAAGAAATAAATACAATTAGCCTGGAAATGATTATATCGCTATAAGACCAGTGTCCTAAAAATATGAGATATTAAACTAACTAAAAGCTACAAATTTTGATGATTAACATAATAGAATATGAACTACAGAGAAAATTATACATAAAATAACTAAGGATAAAGATATAAATTACAATCAATTAAGAAGAATTCAAAGCAAAGAAAATAGAATCTTAGTCTAAATATAAACACGCCACAAAAAAAAACAAAAAATGTCATTTTGAGATATTATTAAAAAAGGAACTGCTAATCAAAACGTCTAACAAAATTGAAAATCTCAGAAAGCCAAAGAAAATAACGATATGCAGAGATAAATATTGTACTGGTAAAAAATTCTCTCCTAAAAAAATCGCAATGAAGTACAGGAAATCACAGGTTCTGCTGAAAAGATACTCAAAATATTTAAATTTTTAATAATAATCGGTAAAAATAAAAAACATGCTTGGATATAAAATTATATACGTATGAAAGTTCTTCAATTAAGACTATCACAAATGAAGCGCTAGAATTTACAAGCTTTGTCGGAGAAAAACGTGTATTTGTGTCTTTAGTTGCATAACACCGATCAAGCAACTTCTTAATGTGATCATGCATGGTTGCATCTGTACCTATACCAGCCTATAAAAGATCAGAAAATGGGAAATATAAGAACATTATCTGAAAGGCCAACTAGACGACAGTTCATCACAATCACAAAATAAAACATAAAAAATAATTGACAATTGAGCAATCCACAGTTAATGTTTGCTGCGTTTATTCATAACATAATCTTCAGTTTTTTAGTCAAATACCCACTAATAACACAATAACAAGAAAGTCAATCACCTTATCCATACGGCTAAGCAAATCTGATTCGCTTAAAAGTGGCGGCGGCCTTGTGACCCCCGAATCAAGTGTTAAAGTTGTAGGAATAAACTGCAACAAAGCCAAGAATTCAGTCTTTAATATAGCATACCAGTAACATAAACAAGAAAGATTGGGCACCAACAATCTAATTTAATATAAATATGCATGAACAATTAGTAAAGTACATTTCTGAAATTATAATATCAGCTAATCCATTTTCATACTACAAATATATGGACCTAATGAATCAAAAATGATGCAATCTATGCCAATGTAAAGTAAATACTTGTGAAAAAAATGAAGAATAAACCTGCTAGAAACCGGGAGAGAAATTGATCGCCATAAGAACTAACTTCCAAACGCCACAGATAACCATAAGATTTTTCAAATTGCAGAACAAATGTTTGCTGCCATCAACAGGGACTCTACAAGAGTTTGTTGGAACACAAGAACGAGATTGAGAGGTCCAAAAATAAAATCACTGCAGCTACTCTTCGAAGTACGCTGCAGCTCTGCAGGACATCATTAACTTGTATTGTGAACCTCAATTATTTTGCACATTCTCTCCTCTGATGGAATCTAAACGTGTATGCCAGTTGGAAGCATAAAAAGTGAGCATTGAGATTAATATAATGAGTCTTGGTGTTGTAATATCTAGATGTCTTGAGATTAATTCGATGTAACCATTGCTATAATGTTGATATCCATTAGATAGGGTTGCATTCTCTAGGAGTGTCAATATTAGAACTCTAATCTGACAAAATAAATAAGAGTTTAGAGCAACCAGTGAAATGTCTGTGATACCGGAGAAGAAAGCCCAAACCACATGAGAGAATTTTTTATTAGCAGGGAAATATGATTACCATACACACAAACTGAAAATAACATCACCTACACATCAAAAAACACAACAAACACCTCGAGAGTGCAGCCCAAGGAAGGTGGAGATTGCTAAGTGGGTCCGGATGACTGCCGCGGTTGGCAGCAGCGAAGGCAAGGTTAGAAAACTACAGGAACAGCTAGAGGGTGGGCTGTCCTGTGCAGCTAGAGCATGAAATTGGGGCAGAAACGGAAGGAACACCAAAGTTCAGCTCTCCCGGGACGGCAGCAGCAAGGATGGGTGGGTCTGCAGCGATGTAGCAAAAATGCGGGCGGGTGGGTCTGCAAGGATGGGTGGGTCTGCAGCGATGTAGCAAAAATGCGGGCGGTTGGGGTGGCCGGAAGGTGATGGACAGCAAATTCGCCTGCTGGAAACAAGAACAAAGAAAATACAATCACCACCGGGGAAAGGGATACAGTCAGAGCACCACCCAAACCGCTGGATACATCTCTCAATGGGGAAGAAGGCTCCACACAAGAAATCTGAAATCAAACACAGCAAAAGACTACTTCTAAACTCAGGAAACAAGCACATAAACAGACCTAGCTAGATGGGAAACAAGAAAGGGACAATGGTCAGGCATCAATGCCGCTTCTCCCCAAATCCCGCTCAACCTGGGCGGGAGATGCGAAAGGAAAGGCCGCACGGACCGCTCCAAGCCACTCGGCCCTCTGGAATCTTGGATCGAACCGCTTGAACCGGCCACCTATGCCAGTCGGTTCAGCCGGCTGGCTTGCTACCCGCAATCGTTCGGGGAACTCCCGTTCCTACGTCCATGCAAGGGAAAGCCCCGCGTCAGTCTCCCGGGGTTAGGGGAGCTTCGACCTCATTCGTTGAAGCTTTTGGCTCCTCGTGGCACAGCGTCAAGTTTTATGGCACGTCGAACAAGTAGACGTGGTCATTCCAAAGAACATCCTGATTGAAGAAACATTCACCCACTTTTGACACGACCTAAGTTGGAACTGTAGATAAACAAGTATTCCTACAAATCAAGTGTCGCGTCATCCCAGTTATAACATGCTTCTTCCATTTTTTATACATGACTGGGTGCAACCGGTAAGCTAGTATGTGAGGAGAAATCCACTTTTGGTTGAACTCTATAACAGCCTGCGCCAATCTCACTGACTTCTCAAGAGAGACTTGTTCCCCACAAATAGGACCTAGATTCTATTGCAGAATTTTCTTCCCCATCAAGCTCCTCGGGCCCATTACAAAGCTGGGGATCATCTCTCCTATTTGAACATCTGAAGAGGGGTAGCATGCGGAACAGAAAATAACCTATGAATAACTCTACGTGATATTCCCGACATGACACAAAATGACTTGTCTTCGTACCATGTTGGACCTCCCCCCGTAGGGATAACTCAGGAAGAGGTATAACATTTTGAAAAAGCTGTATTTCTTGCACTTGTGAGGGGGGTAGGGACAGTTGTGAGTGGATTAAAGCAGGTGGAGGTGGACTAGTCCCAAGATGGAAGAGGGTTGCAGGGGACGTGACTGTTGTGAGAGGATTCTGCCAGCCAGCTAGCAAAGGGAATAGGATTATGGTAGCAAGGAGGGCAAGGGAATGACTCACACCAATTGTTCGGCGGTATAAAGGAGTTACAACACCTTTGGGGAAGGGAATATGTAGAACAGGGCAGCCTGAAGTTGTCGGCGGTCTACAGCAAGCTACTGGAAGATCCAATAGTCGCACTAAGAGGTCGAGAAACAGGGGAGAAAAGGATTGTTGGCGGGTAGGAAATGTGAGTAAGGTGAAGGAGGAAGTCGGAGAAGATAAATCACCACCAGAGGTATGAATGCAGCCAGAGCACCACCCTAACCGTCGTATGCAGCCCTGTCAGCCGTTTTAACTTTGTAATTTGAAAAAGTGATGATTTTGTAAATTTTGAAAATAATTTAAATATGAATATAACCTTTCAGATTTTTAAAAGTAACATTTTAATTTTAAAATATGTGAGACCAAATGGGCCTCACATTTTAAATAGTTTAGATGATTGAATACAATACTACAAATAATTAATTATACTTATCCCGAAGAATAAATATATCACTTGTAATAGGAATTCAATCACCTAAACTAAAGAATTTGTGACATCCGTTTGGTCTGCGAAATAATTTATATGAGACCAACAAGTTCCCCTACCTAATACGAGGATTAGATAGGGTTTATTTTACCTGGATTTCACGTTCTCTATAGAGGCAAGCCCCTATAGTTAATTACATCTTAAATGATTGGGGTCATTTAAGAAAACTCTCGATTAAGATCAGTGGTTTTGCCTTCAAGATTTCAAAGTTTAGGTTTCCAAGATCGGTCATGAGAAAATCAAATAGGAATGACTCGAACAGAAACAGTTATTTTACGGAATCCAAAAGAGCGAAGGGTAGGGGATATCACAGATCCAGGGAGAATTCCAATGACCTCCCAACTATCCTACTGTTTGGCATGATATCTTTGAAATGATATTATTTAATGTTTAATCTTGTAATTTATTTAGAATTAAGGACTTCTAATTGCACGATATAAGATTGTACAATTAGCCTAAAAAGATAGGAGGATTTACACTATACCGTACAGTAACCTCGGATTCCTAAAGTGCACTTAACCACTAAGTTATCATACACTCTTCGTAGTAGCACCTCCGGGGTTAGTTTTAGTTTTGAAAATGCACTTAACCACTAGATTATCATATACTAAGTTATAGTGTGTATCAAAGTAACTAACATGCAGTATAAAAGAAAAGAAACAGTATAACGCACAGTAGAAATAAAAGACAGTATAACATGCTGAAAGAATAGTATAACGTGCTAGAAAGAGCGATATAACGTGCTAGGAAATAAATAAAAAAATGTTGCAAGGTAAATCACACCTGTAAATATGAGAAGTCCGCTGCTCCTTTAAGCTAGCTATTATTCACTGTATAAAGAAAAGTTGTTTGGAAACTTCGAGAAAATCGATGAATAAACCAACGACGAAAGATTCTGAAAAATTGAAAAATAATAATAATAAATATCAGGAAAATCCCGAATAAAAGACCACGAGTGTTTTGTCCAAAATTTCAAGAAAACATACGAAAAAATCCGAAAAGAGGGGACCGCAAGCACTCGGGTCGGGGCTATGCTCAAATATATATTTATACTCGAGGGTCATCGAAGGCTACTCGGTCACCCGGATGCGTAAAGTCTGACACTCAACTAGAAGGATGTCCTACTGAACCTAACTTAGGAGGGTATTCCTTAGCCCAGGATCGGTAATCAACAAGTGGACAACCCAATTTGTGACACATCTTTAAAATTTAAGTTTTAACATGCATATGTATTTCAAGCATACAAAAAAAAATTGTTTTAATTTTGATTTTTATAATGAAAATATTTTTATAAATATTGTATCTATTCTTATCAATTTGTTTTATTAATTCTGAAAAAAAAAATGGTTGTCCACAAGTCGATCACGTCACCGATTCTAGGACTAACAACAGCCTAAGAAGGTACGGGTCCCCCTCTAGTCTTATGTCGGTGAATGATACTTTCATCTTACAGTTCATCAGGTCCCAGAATTGAGTCATGGTGTTGTAGGATGAGATCTCATTTTACTCTACCGTCGGCGTGCCTTTGTCATCATCGTCACACGCCCCAAAACAAAACCAACCTACTTACGACCTTACTTGATGGTTTCATATATAAGAAAAGGCTATACATGAGCACTTATGTATCAGACATAAGCACAGAAAATCAAACCAAGAAGCAAGGAATGAAAAGAATAAAAAAGGGGATGAGAGAGGAGAAATGATCCACTCAAAAGATCGAAAGAAAAAAAAAAGGTTGAGCAATTCTCAAAGTCATAACAAAAATACCTAAAAAAAAAATAGAGCCTATGAAGACCTAAAAAATAGAGCCCATGGTCCTTGAATCAATCCTATAAAGATATCATTTTCTCACATTTCATAAGCGGATCAATCCAATTTACTCCACTAAAAGGTCATAAGTTAAAGCTCACAGGTAAGACAATAAAGGAGAGGAGAGCCCACGGATAAGGCAATAAGAATCACACCCCAAATCCAAATTCAGCTCACGGGTAGGGCAGCAAGAGGGAGAGCCCACTGGTAAGGTAGTAGGAAGGAGAGCTCACGGGTAAGGCAGAAGGAAGGAGAGCTCACGAGTCAGGAAAGAGAGCTCATGGGTAGCCCAC